AGCAGGCTTCCCTTTTTCCTATTTCTTCCCATAATGGGTGGGTTTAACATTGGAAATTACGCAGTTTCTGCTGCCTCTTGAAGTTAGGGACTGACAGGATTTCCTTAGCCTCTGGGATATTTCTTCTATTTTTCAGTCTGGAAAGCTACTTATTTTCTTCTACAAAGGCAAGACCAAAAATGTTATGCTGGTCCAATTTGTAGAGCATAGAGATGCCCTTGACTCTCTAAGGTTTACAGTCTTATTAGCAAATCTCAATGAATTTCTATTTAGAGGGAGACAAAAGTGTAACTATACCAAAGTAAATGAAGTGCTAGTAAGTTATGTTTAAAAAAAAAAAAAAAAAAGGGAGGGGGGGAATGGAAAATGGTCAGCTCCATGCTTGCTTTTTTTAAAAAAAAATCTTAGCCAAGGTGATGTACTGTCCCCAAGTCTATGCTCAGCCTTTTAAGTTTAGTAATAAAAAGGAGTATGTGCAATGATTCTTTATAGCTGTAAGTTCTGAAAGTAAGAGCATATGCAGTGTTGCAGCCCTCCTGGCAAGAAGGGGAAAGAACCTGAATGAACTCTAGCTATAATAGATAAATAGTAACTGGTTTTAAATTGATTCTGGAAACCTGTATGGGGTGAGATTATTCTTGTGTTTCCATAAAGCTGAAATAATGGCTTTTCCATCTATTTCAGCTTCTAGGGTGAAGCTGTTGCATAGCTGATCCTCAGCAAAGACAGACTGATATACCTCCTTTAGTACATAGTGTTGAAACCTGACCTAGTATTAGAACTCAGTCCTTGCCCAAGGTCTTTCTTGGCGTTATGGGAAGCTGAAGATAAGCACTGAATTTGCACGGGTACTGGTAAAAAAAAAAAAATATTATTTTTTTACTTGTATGGTTTTATAACCTTGATGTAGGTTCAAAGAGAACTTTTAGCAGACAATTTGCTAAATCCAAAGAAGCCTATTTCAGTTGCACATGTAAAGAGGAAAGGTAGGAGGATGCAAATATGCATTTTAATGTCTTAGTTTCACTCCCAAGTTTATCATATGTAACTGTCTAGTTTGGGAAGAGAGTTTCTGAAATGGTTGCTTTTACCCAGCTTTCCTTTGAATCTCATACCATGATCAGAATGTGTAAGTTGTAAGTTTTTGCTGTTGCTGGCCGTGCTTTGGTTTGCATGAAGAAAGCTACAATAAACTTTATTTGCTTGCTTTCAAGTTGCAATTTTGGATTTAATATAGCTGTATTTCTGACCTTGTTTTCTCTGCAGCATAAAAGGAACTATATGACATTGAACTGTAAACCTTTCACTCAACTGGTCTGAGATAACGAACCAAGAAGTACTTCTTTGTAGCTTACTACAATTAGGGAGATAGCGTGAACCTTTGCAAACTTTTCTGCTCCATTTGCTTGCTAGACACAAGAAGCATTTCTTGCCCTTGGTGTCAGGGGAAGGTACAGGAAGGAGGAAGGCACCTGTTACTCATGTTTCTCATTGGCCTATGAAATTTTCATTTTGCATCCATGCCCTTTATCTATGCTAGCAAAAGCTGCAACACAGCACCCTCCAGTCAAAAGTTATATGCCTGTAACTATCTCCAAGATGGTAAGAGAAAAATACTAATGGCAAATTTGCTTTGCATCTACTACATTTCTGCCTGTTACAGTACTTCCAGAAACATTTTGAATGTTGAAAAATGTAAGGACAGTGCCAGACACAGCTGGACAGAATGCTTCGCCTCTTCCACTAACTTTATGATTTTGTGCATGACCTCAGCATGCTCTCTGACAAGAGTTCACAATATAGCTGGGTAAGGTGATGTAGTTTATTATACTAATTTAGCAAGCATGGACATGTATACAAGGAATCCAGCTTCCTTGATATTGGTAAAGGTCATAATTCACACAGTCTTAATTGCATGGAATAGAAAACTACTGAATATGACTCACAGAAATACATTTCAAAAACTGTTGCATGTTCACATACACATTAACCTTCAATGATCACTTTCCCTGAACTAAAATAAAACAGTCCTCTGGTCTAGCCAGAATTAACAGCTGGTCAACAGATTAATAGAAAGCGGTACAAGAAACAGCATTTTCCAACAACATAATACCTTGTACAGTCTTCATCACAAGCAGCAGCAAAGAACGATATTAATCCAGCAAAAATTCAACATTTTACATAATAGCCTGCATCCAGGAATTCATGATGGAGTTGAGTATAAAGTGCCTTTTAAAGACAGGAATGTTTATTTGCCACCATCGTATACAGATCTCACACTCACTTAGATTTGGTCAAACCAAGAAGATCCCTGAGGTATACAAAAAAGCAGGCTTTTCAACAAAATTACAAATAAATAGACAGTAATTGTCAGTGAAGGTAATTGTTAAACTTGCTTGAAAGCTTTAAAAACACCACAAAAAGTCAGTAGCTATAAAGAGCAAAAGCTCAAGCCATAAAAAGTAAGAGAGTTGCCACCAAGAGCTCTGTGAATACATCAAACTCAACTGTAATGGTCTGTGAAGCGAAAGGATTTTGGCTCTGAACTAATACAGTGGATGTTCTGCATCTGTTTTGCTCTTCTGGCTTCTAATCTAAGCTGCCTTGCTCTCTCTTTAGCAGCTAGTTCTTCTGCTCGTTTTTCTTCTCTCTTTCTTTTTAGCCACCTGCAGAGAGAGAAAGAGGACTAGAAGTACTGACAGTTGCAATTAAAAGTTTTATGTCATCTATTTAAAGGAGACTTGCCCCCATTTAACTAGAGTCGCCTTGTCCTGTAGGATAAGGTTAGGTGTCATGGCTGAGCCAGCCTAAAAGCCTGCCACTCCTAAAACAGGAAGCACTACTTTTCTATCCCAAATCTCCTGCTTCTGCAGCCTCCTTTACCTTTCCCCTTTTGTTGGCCTGATTCAACACACAGACTCGAGGGGGAAAAAGAAATCATTTTATTGGATTAACTTTCTGCTTGTTTAATGAACGGAATCAACCCAAGCCTGTTCCAGAACAGGCAAAAAGGGGTAAGGGAGAAGTAATTCACTATTTCAGCTCAGGTTCTGACAAGTAATTTCACAACAGTGAACAAACAACATCAAGGAATTGATGTATTTTTGCTAGGGTGTAAGTTTATCAAGGCATATTCATGCAAAAAAAAACCCCAAACCAATAAAGACTTCAGCAGTAAAGATGTACCATAAAATAACTACAGTCTTCAACTGACAGACTACAAAATTTTCAAATATGATTCCCTAGGAATGACCCTACTCACTCTTTAAAGGCTCTGTTGCATTCCTCTGTCCTTGGAAAAAAGGCCATTCCCTCAGCTTGGCGTCTCAACATTTCCATCTGTTTTTCTTTCATGTGTTCTTGGTGCTTTTTTTTAAGCCATAACTTGAAGGCTTCTTCTGGATTCCTGCTCCTCTCCTATTTAAAAAAAGACATATATACACAAGGCTTATCATTAAATGACCTTTATATTAATAACATTATAGTAATTTTTGAACTCTCCTGGCATCTCCCATCCACAAAACATATTTTGTAAACAGACTAGAGCATATGCTAATCTAGCATGGAATATATACATGAACAAGCATTCAAAGCAGTATGTTTTAAAAAATACTGTATTTAGCTTTTCAAGCCCATTGCTGCAAGGCAGAGGAACCTCAGAGCATGAGAGTCTTCAGGTTTTGGTCAGGTCACGTGCATTAACTGCTTGCCAACAAGCTCTGATGGTAAGGAATACACTTCAAAGGGTTTTCTGGCTGCTTGTTCACTGCAGGGTTCAATCAAGTCATTCTCCTGGTAAAAAGGAGCATCGCTGTATCTCCTGTGATTTTATAGCTATTAAGTTCATACATGCAGCTTCTATGATGCAAGCCACCCTGCCAAACAGAACAATCCTAAACATGCAAGTCACTTTAGCTGTTCACTGAAAACAGCGTAACAAAAACGTTTCCTATCCCTGTACATTTTCAAACACTTAGCTAAGAGCGCGGGCTTAGAATGCGGTTTTCCTATTTAACAAGAGCACTATAGATCCCAGTCCTACATGAGGGAAATCTTACTTTGCTGTTCAAGTCTTCCAGCTCCTTTGCACGACGAATTCGCCTTTCTTCTTGCACTTGTTCTTTCTTCTTCTGTAACCAAGCTTTAAAAACCATCTCATTCTCTCTTCTCTTCTGTTCTTCTTGTTCCCTTTTCCTCTCTTCTTCCTTAAATGGAATGAAGCGTGAATAAACTTAGTTTTTAAGAGAATCATCTTAATCTGCAAAGGCCTTAATAGACAATAAATAAGCCATTTGAATGATATGAGAGAGACACAAAAATACTGGTGAAACAGGAATACTCAAAGACTGCATCAGAGTTGATACTACTCTTAGAAGAAATGAGTCTGAGCACTTCTGTGGTTCATGTTACATTCAGGTATCTTTGTGGTTACTTCCGTTTCCATGATACATCTCAACTCACAGATGTTTCAACAGCAACAGGTGAAGACTTTTAAAATTAAGCCTGCTCAATAGCTCTGATTGGCTTAAAATCAGTTTAAACTGATGCATTTTAAAAATGAATGCAGCTCTCAGGCTTGATGGACCTAAAGGATATTTAACTACCTATGGACTGCAGGCACTACCTTATAAATAAGGATTCTTTTCTGGACATGAAGTTGTTATGTATTTACTTAAGGGGTATTAATAGCTTAATATCTTTTTCAAGTTTACAAAATAAATGATTTTTACAAAATTTAGAAAATTTTTTTTATTATTAATCTCATTTTAGCTAACGACAAGTATCTACAGGGAGGAGAAAGGTTTGCAAACAACGCTTCAGAAAGCTGATTAGGACATTTTACTAGGCTTTGACTCTCTTTGACACAAAAGCTACAATCCCCGCTCATTTCAACACTCAGAGAAATCTATTCTTCTTGCAAACAGATGATGTTCCTCCCACCTACACACAACTTTCAGACTATCCTACAAATTTACAATTTGTAATTTACTGAAATGGAAGAAACCCCACCAAAATGAAGCAGATGATAGATGGATTCCAGGAATGTCAAGAAATGGAAGAACTCCATTCAAGAATGAAGAAATAAGGGAATATATTCTTACCTTTTCATAAATCAGTTAACAGAGGAAGAGATTTAGCACACACTGTTAGGAAAATAACCTTCCTTACCTCCACCACACTACCTTTTACTTTAAATATGCAGAGTGTAAAGAGATCTAGTCTTGTGTACAAAGAAAACACATCAGTAACTCTTCACATTTCATGCCCTTTGTTACTGAGCTAAGCCTCAGCAAACTTTTCAAATAAAGCAGGTTAGACGTATTTCCACAGACAGAAAGCAATCTTTGAAGCTACGCAGCCAGCTTACTTAGAACATCATGGCACAGAAAAATGGTAGATGCTTCATGCTCTTTTTATAGAGCAACACACATAGTAATTTACCTTTTTGTAATTGTATCATCATAATGCAAAGCAAAGAAAAACATCTACGTTTTTAAAATCTTTGGTAAAGATTTCTGAAGTTCCTTTTACAGCTTTCAGAGGCTGACTATTAAATATTACTTTTTTCTGAATAAAGAGCTAATAAAGAATTAAAAGGGTTTTTTTTCCTAGTAACACATAAGATACTGATTTGATTTTTAAATTATTTTTTCACTTTTATATTACTGCCCTTTATAGATAAAAGAAGAATAAACTCAGTACTGGGAATGTTTTCTTTTTTTTGTGTGTAGCGCCCAGGTAAAACCAAGTAAGAAGGAAAAGTAGTATCAACAGAGAAAGGGGGAAAAAACCCTACTTTGCAACAAACTCATTGAGAAAACTTACTACAACACTGACCCACGCAAAACCTTTACAGGAGAAAAGTATCCAGTTTATGCAGGCTTCACCTGCATGCATCTTACATAAGCAACAAGGCATGCCACTTTTGAAGTCAGCTGTATCTTCCATACATGTTAAACACACCCCTCTTTGTTCATAGATCCCACAATCATTCTCCTGTGTAAATCCTACTTTGTGACTGAACGCTCTCCCGTATGATAATTGCCTATTACACACTTCATGAGCACCCAAATGTGCACCTGCATTACTGTGGTTAACTTCCTGCATTGCAGTGTAACCTGTGGAGAGGCGAGACCACGTGCTATGTTCCAGTAAACAGTGGGCCTGTAATGAAACCTAGGTAGAAAGAGAGTCAATAAGCAAAAGCAGTAAGCACAATATAGCAGAAGGTGGCCTATTTATGAAGGACATATTAAATAAATACTTAATTTCTCCTGTGAGCAAGGCATGATCCTATGCCACTCTGTGGGGTTTTTTTTCTTTTAAGGAAAGGAGTTTTGAGAGATTGTGTACAAACTCCAGAGAATTATTATTATTATTATGATTGTTATTGCTGCCTCTTTTATCATGGGAAAATTGAGTAAATGCCCTGAACATGTGGTCTCTGTGAAGCAGAGGAACAGATGGTCACTGTGATCTACTTGTTGCCTCTATACCTTTACCTCTTTCCTCAGTTTTTCCTTCCTTTGTTCTAACTGCTTCCGTAATTCTTTTTGTCGGGGAGAAAGACAGTAAGTGGAGCTTCTCACGGGCACATTTGCAGACTGTGCCCTCTGCGGAGTCTTCCGTTTTCCCAGACCTCTTGCAGCATTGATAGCAGAATTTGGACGATGCTTAGGGTTAGATGGAGGCTTAGGGAAATACGCGCACTCTTCTCCACCAGGAGAAAAAGAACGTGCTCCTGGTCTTACTGGGGGTACTTCCTTCACTCGAGAGACAGTGCCAAAAGGACCGTAGTGTGAAGATTTTGGAGACATATGTTGAGTTTCAATATCAGTAAAAGAAACGCTTACTGGGGGCAAAAAGCCCTGGCTTTCAATATCACGTAAACTTAAGAGTTCAAACTTCCCATCTTTTTCCACTAGGATTTTACCATCCTTCTTTTCCTCATCCTTGCCAGCACGTGGAGAAAGTGAAGTGCTTTCCTGTCCCATTTCGTTAGAAATATGCAACCGAGATAGGCTATTTGAAACATCGTCTCCCCTTGCAAGGTCAGTTTTACAAACTTCAGCATCTTCTAGAGGAGGAACTTCAAGATCCACCAACTTATCCTTAAATTTTAATTTCCGCTCTCTGTTTTGATCCACAGGAGCCTGATTCTCCAGCAGTTTGTTGGCTTCTTCAATCTTTTCCAAGATGTAACGCTTTATTTCTTCATCCTCTTCCTCATCCAGTTCCTGCTGGTTTTCCAGCTTGGATTCCTGGATAGAGCTTTCACTATCAGTATCAGATACACGGTCCCCATGTTTAATATCAGACCTGGATTCCAAACTTTCTTCACTGGAGGGTCTCACTGTCGCATCTACATCTGCCTCTGAAAGCTGATCTGGATTTTCTTCCATTTCCTCATTGTCTTCCTCAAAGTTGTCCACAACTTTAACAATTTGTGCTTCAATATCCTCTTGATTTTTTTCAGCATTCTAAAAAAATTAAAATAAACTAGTCTATTCTTCCAGCAAAGAACAGTATCAGAGAAAGAGAAAAGAAATAGCGAGAGAGAAGAGCAGTAATAACTACCCTAATTCTAAACGAGGCTGTCAAATAGGGCACGTCATAACTAATAGCTTTTTTGGCACTAACAACTCTCTTGCAGTTTCTTCATGTTCACATCTGCACAAAGTTTTAACTAACCATGGCTTGTGCAGTAAAGTGATCAGTGAGGGCATAACAACAGAACAACCTGTACTGCAGAAACACTTAAAGGAACCCAGAAGTACTTTTAAAACAAACATTATTTTCAATGAACACTGAATTTTCTGTTTTAAGGCAATTGTAACCAAACTAACCAGTTCACTGAATTGTTTTTCACTGCAATTCCAAATAACCTTCCTTGTCAAAATTCAGTGAATGTACCTACACGTTTCAAACCATATTGAATTTTGTGCTTGATTCCAAATATTACTCAATTTTGTCTTCTAAATAAGACAACTAGCATTTAATTTAACAAATACCTCTCTTTCACCAAGGTTTTCTTTTTCTTCTTCATTAATTAGCCATTCGAGATCTTTTTCAAAATCATCCTCATATTCTCCACTTTCTGTTAAATCACCCATATCTGCTGGATCTCCTCGGTCTTCCCTTTCAGTCATTTTGGTGATGTGTTAGAGTAATACTGCAAAAAGGAGAGGGGAAAAAATTGTTTTAAAACTCTAGCGACACACAAATATAGAACATTGATATCTCTTACGGCACCCACCTCAAACCTGTGAGCAGTATCAATACAACCATGTTAGACAGCACCACAGCACCTCAGGACTAAGCATCACCAATGGTTTATAAACATTATAAACACCAAACATTTATAAACAACAATAAATGGTTTTGGCCTTTCCAGCTCCCACTACCAGGGGAAGATTTGAGTCAAAGCAAACCAAGGTGACTTAGTGTCTTGCAGTAAATCTCTGACAGAGCTAAGACTCATGATCTCTTAACTGTTAGACTCATGCTTGGACAAAGAAACTGCTATTTTTAGTTTGTTAGAAGTACTATGAGCTTTCATGGCTCCCAGGTGTGCTTTACATTGTTGTTTTATATCTGCCTGGGCCATTTTCCTTTAAAGAAATCTTAACTTGCTTAAAGTTACATTGCAAAAATGCGGGATGTACAAGTAGATCAGATTACCAAAAAGCTTCTCATCATGACCTATTAAAATGAGAAGACATTCATTGATTGGGACTCTTGACAGAAACCTTCTGCTAGAGTGACTGAAAATTGACAAGCAGTGAGCTTTCAAACCATATCACCTCCACTAGGATTAGGGGTAAAGAAAGTTACACAGACCCCAATTGAAACTGCTGGGAAAAGGATTCCGTTCCGGTTTGAAACTCTGGGGAGGACAACAATGGGAAATACTCATTAGCCAGTTAATCAGGTTGGATATAGTCATATTCATGACAAAACTGAAGGTGAGCCACTATAAGGACTGAATCTTTTAAAGAGTCTTTGGACTGCATAGCACACAGGTGCCAACAGGTCCTGCAGGACGGTGTAAACACCAGCTCCTGGGGCTCCAGCCCGCCTGCCTGCCACCCCTCGGCTCAGCTCACTCCACAGAAGGCATCTGGCTTCATCTAAAGACACAAAAGGGTTAAAGACACATGGAGACACGCACCAGCCTAGAGAGTCGGTTCTGCTCTTTTTACAGCTTTAGCCACTCATCATTCCTTCCCTAATTTATTTATAACTGTTTACAAAAGCAGCATGAAAGAAGGAAATGTTGATTATTCAAAAGTTCCTATTCTCTTTGTACCTTCTACTGTAGGCTGGAAGGTGCCACTTCTAAGTGTCTCTCTAGTAGGACAAATCTGTGTCATTTACAACATATTAAAAGATCGTGACATGAGTATTAGCATATAGCAACACAATACGGGATGTCAGAGTTAGCTTTGACCCTGGATGGCCCTGGCACAGTAAGATAGCTCTTGCCGTGCGACCATCCTGCCCTTCCAGACAAGAAGGGTTGCACCTGGACTTCCCAATCTGTCTAAGCATTTTGTAAAAACTCTTCCATCCAGATGTTGCTTAAATTCCTCCGAGCTTTTGTTTTGAGTTCTGATCAGCATCTCTGAGTTCTCAGTCATTTATTCTCAGGAACACCAGCTCCACTTCCTAAAACTCTGCATTTCCTGCTTAACAAGAGTGCTGCTCTTTGACCCCTCAAAATTTAGTCAAGATTTGTTTAAGAGAAAAAAATGGTAATAAAGCTGGGTGCTTTTGTTGCAAACTTGTTTGTACAGAAACTTTATAAAAGCTCTTCTTTGTGTTTGATCCATATTTTGTTCAATTTTGGCAATTTTTTGCTCCTAATTCAATTCTTTTTAGCCACCACTTGCCACAAGAATTATTCATTCACACTAGATTTCTCCAAGTTTAAATTTTCAAAACTTGTTCAGACTGTTGCCTTTCCACACCCTATTTCCATCACGTTTTCCCTGCACCTCTTATGACATGACATGTCATCACTTTTGCTGGGAAACGCCCTTTCCTTCACAAATATCCCCGGTTTGGGTGGTGACGTGGCCCTGGGTTACTTTGCTCTGATACAGATTCAGCACAAAAGAACTCCTTCTCTTTAACATCATCATTATGGTAAGCGGACACAAAGGCTACAAAGCTGAATTGTGCCTTTAACAAAACACGTTCGGGGCAGTCTGTCACACTCCACACAAATACTGAAAACCGTTCCGTTTATTTGGGATACATACAGTAAAGGGGAGCAGCACAACAACCAGCCTTTTCTGTTGCTACATAAAGAGCCATGGCTGAAGAGATAATTTCAGTTTAATGGCCGCTTCAGAAAATCCTGAATCAGCTCCTATTCTATTTAAGGTCTTACGAAGTAAAGATTAAGGCGCTTCAGCTTTAATAGGAACCAAAAGCACTCAGAAAATCTCAAGTCTTCACTTTCACCTGCTCCCGTGCTGGCCGGGGCTGGGATGCGCCCGCAGAGCTCAGTTACACCTCGACGTGGGTGGGCTGGGCACAGTTACAACAGGAAGGAGACAGGGATGGGCTTTTATTATTTGACCCCTCTGTACCAAAATATACGTAAATACAGCTTCATAGACCCGAACCCAAGGCTGTTCCGGCGGGGAAGGTGCAGCCCGGCGGGCGGGACCGGCAGCCCCTGCTCACGAAGAGCGGCCACCGG